CAAAGAAGACTACCCCTCTAGTAACACCAATAGCCACTCAACCACCGTTCCCCTCCCGACTTGCAACTTCAAAGAAGAATATGGAGGAGAAAGAGATTTTGGACACCTTCCGAAAGGTGGAAGTAAACATCCCTCTACTTGATGGAATCAAGAAAATCTCGAGATATGCAAAGTTATTGAAAGAATTTTGTACCAACAAGAGGAAGTTGAAGGGAAATGAGAAAATTTTGATGAATGAAATGCATCCGCGGTTTTACAAAGGAAACTTCCACCCAAATGCAATGATCCCGGAATGTTCACGGTTCCTTGCAAGACTGGAGATGTCACTTTTAGTAATTCTATGCTTGATCTTGGTGCCTCTATCAATGTCATGCCCTATTTGGTGTATGAATCATTGAATGCCGGACCCTAAAGTGAAACCGGTGTCATAATCTCTCTTGCGGATAAATCAAGTGTCTTTCCTAGAGGTGTTTTAGAAGATGTCCTAGTGGATGTAAACCAATTGGTCTTCCCGGAGTATTTCTATGTGATTGATCTAGATTAGCAAGTGTCCTCCAAATCGGCTCTAATCTTGCTTGGGAGACCATTCTTGAAGACGGCTAGGACAAAGATCGATGTGTATGCGGGAAGTTTGACAATGGAGTTTGATGGCGAAACAATTAGTTTTAATATTTATGATGCCATGAGATATCCTAGTGATGTTTCATCTTTCTACTTTGTTGATGTTGTTGAGATAATTACTCAAGAATTACTTGAGTTATCTAACGGTGATATGTTGGAGATGATCTTAAGCAAAGGATTCGATTGTGGGAAGCTAGCCGAGCAATTAAAGCTTTATTCTTTGGATCCGGAAGTTGAGAAGTTGGTAAATAAAATGGAGATGAAGAAATCTACAAGATTAGATGTCAAGCAAAATTGAATTGCCCCAACTCATACAAAATTGCCTTCGTCCCTTATTAAACCACCCGAATTGGAATTGAAGGTCTTACCTCAACACTTGAAGTATGACTACTTGGGAAAGAATGAAACCCTTCCGGTTATCATTTCAACTCACTTAACCGAATTTGAAGAAGAAAAACTCCTCAAGGTGTTGAAGGAGCATAAAGAAGCCATAGGTTGGACGATTGCGGATATCAAGGGATTGAGCCCCTCCACTTGTATGCACAAGATCTTGATGGAAGACGAATGCAAGCCGAGTCGGGATGCGCAAAGAAGATTTAACCCACCAATGATGGAAGTTGTGAAGAATGAGATATTAAAGCTTCTTGATGCGGGGATGATTTATCCAATCTCGGATAGCAAGTGGGTGAGCCCGGTGCAAGTCGTTCCAAAGAAGACGGGAATCACGGTGGTCGAGAAAAACAAAGGTATGATGGTCCCCACTCGTGTGCAAAATGGGTGGAGAGTATGTATTGATTACCGCAAACTCAATGCAAGTACAAGAAAAGATCATTTCCCATTGCCTTTCATTGACCAAATGTTAGAAAGGTTAGCCGGGAAATCTCATTATTGTTGTCTCGACGGGTATTCCGGTTTTCACCAAATCCTGGTGGCACTGGAAGACCAAGAAAAGACAACATTTACATGTCCATTTGGTACTTTTGCATACCGGAGAATGCCATTTGGATTGTGTAACGCCCCGGCCGCTTTCTAACGTTGTATGGTTAGTATCTTTTTGGAATACGTTGAAAACATAATTAAGGTTTTTATGGATGATTTCACGGTATATGGCAACTCTCTTCAAGAATGTTTGACTAATCTCACAAAAATTTTAAAAAGATGCATTGAAACAAACTTGGTTTTGAATTTTGAGAAATGTCATTTCATGGTGAGTCAAGGTCTCATTTTGGGTCACATTGTGTCTAAAAAAGGAATTGAGGTAGATAAGGCCAAAATTGATGTTATTCAAAGCTTACCTTACCTGAATTGTGTTCGGGAAGTTCGTTCTTTTTTGGGCCATGCAGGTTTCTACCGAAGGTTCATCAAGATTTTTCAAAGATAACAAGACCAATGTGCCATCTCTTGCAAAAGGAGGTTGATTTTGAGTTCAATGAGGCGTGCAAAGAAGCTTTTGACAAGCTCAAAGAGTTGCTTACATCCTCTCCCATCATGCAAGTGCCAAATTGGGATCTCCCCTTTGAGATCATGTGTGATGCAAGAAACTATGCGATAAGCGCCGTTTTGGGTCAAAAGAATGGGAGGTCCTCCCACGTGATCTATTATGCATCAAGGACACTAGACAACGCTCAAAGAAACTACTCTACCGCGGAGAAGGAGCTATTGGCCATAGTGTTCGCCTTGGAGAAATTTAGACAATACCTACTTGGTACCAAGGTCGTAGTGTATTTGGATCATGCAGCACTTAAGTACTTGATGATGAAGAAAGATGCAAAGCCGAGACTCATCCGGTGGATCCTACTGTTACAAGAATTTGACTTGGAAATCCGGGACAAGAGCGGATGCGAGAACCTCATTGTCGATCATCTAAGCCGGATCACTTCAAATGAAACTCGTCTCCCATTGCGGGACGAGTTTCCGAATGAGCATCTCTTTTCCCTTACTCAATCTATTCCTTGGTATGCCGATATCGTTAACTTTTTAGTCACAAAAAGGTATCCCAACACATTCACACGTGCTCAAAAAGACAAGTTGAAAAGTGATGCAAAATAGTATGTGTGGGATGAACCTTATTTGTGGAAACATTATCCCGATCAAATCATTAGGCGATGTGTACCCCAACAAGAGCACCAATCCATTTTGCAATTCTGTCATGAATTTGCTTGTGGGGGACACTTCGGACCTAGCCGAACCTTGAGAAAGGTTCTTGAATGTGGGCTATCTTGGCCAACCATGTCACGCGACTGTTACTTGTTTTGCAAAAGTCGTGAACGGTGCCAAAGGACGGGAAACGTTTCGCAAAAGAACCAAATGCCCCAAAATCCAATCCTTGTTTGTGAAAATGTATGGGGGATTGATTTGATGGGCCCATTTCCTGTTTCGTTTGACAACGTTTGCATCTTGCTCGTGGTTAACTATGTTTCTAAGTGGGTTGAGGCCAAAGCCACAAGATCGGTTGATGCCAAAACGGTTATCGAGTTTTTAAAATCTAATGTGTTTGTGAGATTTGGTGTAACTAGGGCTTTGATTAGTGATAGAGGGACGCACTTTTGCAACAAAATGATGGAGGCTTTATTGAAAAACTACAACGTGACCCATCGTGTCTCTACCGCCTACCACCCTTAAACGAATGGTCAAGTGGAGGTCTCGAATCGTGAAGTGAAGTCTATTCTAGAGAAAACAGTGAATCCGACAAGGAAGGATTGGAGTTTGAGACTTGACGATGCCTTATGGGCCTATCGGACCGCTTATAAGACCCCGATTGGAATGTCGCCCTTCAGATTAGTTTTTGGAAAATCTTGTCATCTTCCCGTCGAGTTAGAGTACCGAACATTTTGGGCGGTCAAGAAATGCAACTTCGACATTGATGAGGCGGGAAGGCATAGGAAACTTCAACTCCAAGAGCTAGAAGAATTGAGAAACAAATCCTATGAAAACGCCAGGATTTATAAGGAGAAAACGAAGCTCTTCCACGACAAGTCCATCACCCGGAAGAATTTTGAACCGGGACATAGGGTCTTACTTTACCATTCACGGTTGAATTTATTCCCGGGCAAATTAAGATCCAGGTGGATTGGCCCATTTGTTGTAATAAAGACTTTTGACCATAGAGCGGTCGAAATCCAAAGTGAAGAAACAGGACAAATTTTCAAAGTGATTGGACACTGATTAAATCCATTCTATGAAGGTTTTAATGCAAGTGTTATTGAAATCATCCACTTGGATGTCTCGGTGTGTTGAACCAAGCTAGAAGGACGTCTCGCCTATGACGTTAAAGAGGGGCATTTTCGGAAAGCTTTATGCTTTCATGTTTCTACATTCGAATAAAGAAGTTTTGAAAATGTTTTGATGCGTCTTTTGAAGTCATTCTTGAAGAAATCAATAGTTTCTAGGTGTTTGGGGCCTTCCGAATCAAGAACTAGTGAAGAAACGGAAGAAAACGAAGAAAAATCGAGAACCGGGAGCAGGATGTTGTGCGACCTGCACACGGGTGCGCGGCTGGTGTTCGCAGCTGACCTTCAAGTTGCGACATAAAAATGGAACCTAACTGCATATGTTGCACGACCCGCGTGCCCCCTCTGCGCGGCCCGCGTGCTGTCCTGACGACCAACCCCTATTTTGTTGACCACCTTTGACTTTCGTTGACCAGGTGGTTTAATGAGTTCACCAACGTTGACCGGGTGTTGACCACACTTGAATATGGATTGAAAAGCTCCAACAACTCTTCTTCCTCATTTCATTCTCTCAAACACCCACCATTCTCTCTCAAACTCTCAAGAACACATAAACCCACTTTTCACTAAAAATCGATTTCCCGGAGTTCTACCGGTCGAAATCCGACGACACCACCGCCATTCTTCACCATTTTCTGTGCTCTACAAACCCCACCCAAACTTTACTCTGATCCATTGCCGGGTTTAGGGGCGCCACCACCACCCAACTCGCTGTTTTCCAGCCATTTTCCGACCAACTCCGGCCACCTCTCTCAATTCCGACACCACCAAAGTGTTTCTTTTTCAAAGCTCTTTACATCTAACCAAACAAAACCTCTAAATATCACCAAAAATTTTCCCAGGATTTTTAAGCCACCATGAGCCGCCACTGGATTTTTCACACAAATCAAGTTGAAAGTATTCCTTTAGTGAACAAGTCTTGCATTTTGGCACCTACGTATAACCAAAAAGCTTGGGGTGCATGATAATCTATACAATATGTTCCTACAACTGGGTTGGTGTGGTTTTCTTCGACTTTGTGACAGAACTTACGAGGAACCCACAATGGAATTTCTTAGCACTTATGCACGAGATGATGCAGTGGGAGTCCTCACATTCTAGTTGAAAGGGGAGTATCATAGGCTCACATACGAAGACCTTGATTCCATCATGGGTATAGATGATTCATTCCGCATCAACCCCCAAAATCAAGAGTACCAAGATTTTCTACGTAACCCGGATGCATGCTTTTGTATGCAGATTTCCGGTCTCACTACCTTCAACCCGAGCCGACAGCATGCCAAGCACATTGTTCACCCCTGCTGGCAAATTGCTCATCGAGTTCTCATGACAAGCATCTTCGGGCGACTCGAGCTCGGTCAAATCAATAGATGTGAGCTATTTTTCCTCCGAAGCATGAGGCGTGCACTCCCCTTCAGTTTTTCAGGCTTCTTTTTAGACAAATGCGACTCCATACGCCAGCGTTCCACAGGGGAAAATTTCATCGGGGGACTTATCACGATCATAGGTCGAGCCATCGGCCTAGACTTCACGGATCCTAAGTACATACCTGTCGACACCCCACCGAACTTCCTGCTAGATTGTGACGCCCTCATCCGGATGGAGATGTTGCTTGATCGGGGAACCCGCACGTACCGTTGGTTAGACTCTAACAAAGCCTTGGTTTACATCCTGCCAAGTTGGATCGGTTCTTCATTCGATACAGGCGACCCCGACACTTGGCTTCCTCCAGATCAGTTGACCCAAGCAGGTGTATTCCCGGAATTCGGTGATGATGAGGGTGACGACGCTTAGGAACAAGAGGAAGCAGATGATGAAGAGGAAGTAGATGATGATGAGGGTGACCCAAGCAGGTGTATTCCCAGCATTTCCCTTATCTTTTACTTTTTCATGCATTTTTAAATAGGTTGCATAACATTTTAGTTTTAAGCTAATTTTCATTCATTTTTTTTATATAAAATTCCAAAAATATTTTATTTTCTTCTTTTTCACCTTTTATATTTTTGCATAACATTTAGCTTAGGGCATTAACATTCATGCATTTTTGTTGTCTGTTTATTCTCACCTCCTTGGATGCCATGGAACAGGCTCATAGTTATTGTATCATTATTGGTCCAGGACCTTTTTGCTATCTCACCCATCGAACCGCGACCATTAGCTGCAGTTTGGGAGTTCATACTTGGGATCAGATGCTGGTAGATTAAAGGGGTAAGTGATCATGGACAGGTAGTTTGATTGAAGAATTATGCATATAATACTAATGACTGTAGGATATACTAAAGCAATGGATGTCTTAGCCTTGCCATCACTACCGCCGAGAGGATCACACTTGATCATGTTTGAACCGTTAGGATGAAGCACTAGTGCTTGTCCCCGAGTAGAATCCATATCCGGTCTTTTTACATCACCATATCTTTTTGCGATTTTCTTAGGATTTTAGAGAAGTCTTTTAGTCCGCATGTGGACATTTTCATGTGTTTAAAAAAAAGGGGGCAAGCAAATTCCCAGCTGCAGAAACCTGAAAAGGGTGACCGGTTCAATTATTGAACTAAATTTTCCAACATTTTGGTCACCCGGCGTTTGATATTCATTTATTTAGGTATGTTTTATTGTATATAGATCGAGTTGTTTTTCGCAAATTGGTGATGTCAAGGAGACTATCGAGTTGGATACTACGGGAGGTTTGGGCCAACACCAAGTGAGCCGATTCCTACAACGGTGCCCGAGCGATTAAAACCTAGTTACACATGAGAGAAACCGGCAAACATGATATCAGAGTGTACATTTAAAGAAGAGCTCCAACTGAGCCCATCCAGCTGCTTTCTCCCAACTACAGATATTCTTCATTGTATGCATGTTCCATTGAGGTTGCGACTGCTCATCCCTCCTTTCTCACCTAAAGGAGTTGTCCTGGCTATGGTTTATGGTTTCATTGTTATCAGATGAAAAAGTTGTGAGATAATAGCAAGATTTATTATGACCATGTTGACTAACGGTGATCAGGTTCCGTGGTTCTATCCATTCTTTTTATTTTCTTAGGATAGTTCATCCCGAGTTAATTTTAGTCTTGTCTTACTTGAGGACATGTAAGGTTTAAGCTTGGGGTGATTTGATAGTTAGTTTTGTTTACTTCTTTTTATAGTTTATTTTAGCATATTTCATTCATAATTTAGATAATTTCCATGCATATTTTCCTTTTTGTTATTTTATCACTATTTCGGGTACTTTCGAATCTTGTGAGCATAATTGCAGGTTTTCGGGTCTAGTGGAGCGGGAGTGTTCGGGACGTATGGGAAGCGATGGGATTTGGTAGACAAAAAAAAGATTTTGGGCTTGATGGGTAGTGGAGATGATGCATGGAGTGATCTTGATGATTATTTGAAGGCTTGGAGAGAAATAAACTTTAAATTTGCAAGATTCGGGGGAATATTCAAGCGTGTGTAGATTATTAATCGGGAGGATTTGGAGAAGCCAAATTGGGCTTAAAACGAAGAAAAACTTGAAGAAAATGGGCTAGGAGGTGATTGGATTCGATTTTTGACCTTTTACTTTTTCAAACTCCTTATATCTCATAGTACTAAGACTTTCCTTTTAGCAACGTTAACCAAAACTCAACTGATTTCTGTATGTCATTTTGATGTTAATAGCATTGTTAATGCGGTTGGTTTTTATCTTTTATAAAATCATAATTTCTCTAATCGGAGTCACATTTTCGCAACACTTATATCCTTGGGATCACTTTGTTGTGTACTTTCCAAATACACTAACCATAATAAAGAATGATATAACTTTTTGGTCATTCATTCTTGACCCTATTATTACCATTTAACTAATCGTATTTTCCTTTGATATGAATTTATCATTATCATTGATTGATGCTAATCTCTAGTGACGATTGGTGATAGGAAATTCCTAACTATCACATCGTCCTGCATTGTCTTGCTCTATGTAAGGTGTTATAAGGCTTGAGTAATATTTTGTGGTTTTGGAAAGAAAAAGTGGTAGAGTGGTAAAAAATGAAGTTATCATTGTGATATTTAGGATCTGGCTTGGGATTCTTTCTAGTGTTTATTTATGTAGTTTGAGTGGGGACGGAGGGAATAGGTGGATGTATAGAAGATGATGAATTGGTGATTCATTTTAATCAGTGGGGTTTAAATATATATATTAGTAGAAGAATGGCGGTTGGTGTTATTTTTGGAGATTGGGTTGTTGGGAGGGGAATCCGAAGAAGGATCAAACTGAGGGAGATGATCTAAGCTTTGAGCTAGCTAATTTAGAAGTGAAAAAAAATCAAGTTGAAGCCATGTATCAGGTTAGGGGTCGGTGGTGTAGTTGTTTTGGTGAGTGATGCGTAAGGAAATTCAGACTTGACGAAATAAACATGACGAGATGTATGAATTTTGTTTGTGAGTGGATCGAGGAGGGTGTAAGCACTTTGAGATGAAGAGTAACTCGCAAAAATGCATGGTTTAGATTTGGGCTCGAGTTTATGTTTAGTGTATGGACGCAACCAAGGATATATGAGACATCCAAATCTTCTGAGTTTGTCATGATTTTGTAGGTTATTTAAATGTCAAAAATATGGAGAGGTATTATTTAGATTGGTAGTAGGTAACATATTAAGTAAGTATGTGGTGGTAGTGACAATAAAAGTCCAAAATTATAGTGGCATGTTTGACTATGTGACGGTGTCGTCTTTCAGCATAGCCATTACGTTCATGAATGTGAGGAGGTGAGGTTAGATGGGAAATACCACAAGAAGCTAGGTGTGAGGTTAATTTGATATATTCACCTCCATTATTAGAAAAGAATTATTTTATTTTTGTTTGAAAGAAATACTCAACAAAATTTTGAAATCGTATAAAGGTAATAAGAGAATCAGACTTGTGTTTTAAAGGATAAATCCATGTGTATTTTATGAAATGATCAACAAATATACTATTGTATTTTTATCCATCGACAGATTGAAGGGGAGATCTCTATACATAAGTGAAAATCAATTCTAGTGGATTAGTGAAAGTAAGAGATGTAGTATGAAAAGGAAGCTTGTGACTTTTATTAATACAATAGGAATTATAATTATTTTTTCAAAGAAGTAATTCTAGGAATAGTAGAAGCTAAATGTTATAAAACTCTTGGAGGTGGATGTCCAAGTCTATGATACCAAGGAGTGGACTTATTAGAAGGTGTATGAAAAGCGGGATGTGGTGATGTAGAACAAAGTCCATAGACCTCTGGATTAGCCATTATGCGGAGTAGAATATGTTTGGTTTTGAAGTCCAAGATAAGAAAGTGAGAGGATTAGAATTGGATTAGTATGTGATTGACAATACACAAACGAGATATAGAGATAATATTTCAGGATGTGAATGGAACACAAAGGGTATTAGTGAGAGTAAAAGATGTATTATAAAATTTAAGAAATAAAAAGCCAACGTGAGTGATAGTAAGGGGAGAACCATCACTAGTGAAAAGTTCATCCATGCCATCGTAAGAGTATACGTAAGAGTATATAGGGACAAGACGTTGAGATTGTTGGTGATATGTACATGAATCACTATAAAAGAGCCAACCCGTATTGGGTGTGTTGGTGGTATGCATGACATGTGCCTAAGGAGAACTTTTGTTGTAGTTGGTTCGTGGCAAGAAAGGCAAATTAACATGTGGATATTTTTTTTGAAAGCATTACAGGAGGAAGAGAGTAGCCTTTGGTAAGGCAGCATTGGGATTTACCTAGGAACTGGTGAGTAGAGGTATTTGGCTGCTGGGGGTTGGTAGAAATGGGAGGGGAATTTTTGGAATTTTGGTTGTTCCAAGGTTTGTGTGGGGGCCGTTTAGTTGTTGCAAAAGTTGTTGCAGATTGATGAATACTTGTATGGATAGATGAGATTTGAGCTAATGAGAGTTCATGGTTGATAAGTTTTTCGTGAAGTTCATGGAAGGATATGGAAGTGTCATAGAATGGATAACTTCAATTACTGTTTTATATTTTGTGGAATCTAGACCAATAACAATAACAACTATGATGTATTCCTCATCCATTTGCTTGCCCAGAATACTGAATGCATCCACAATGGTTTTAATGGTCCGCATGTAATCTGTAATCTCTGAGATTTTTGTGGTTTATTTGAGTCGATATTTAATTTGTTTGATGTGACCTCTGGATGGTATTGTATACGTGTTTGATAGAATCTTCCAGGCATCTAAGGATGAGGATGCATTGGTGATGAGAGGAACAATGGAGGGAGATAGAGTGATTGCTCTAAAAAGCAATAGATCTTGATGGAACCAGGCAACATAATCATGATGAGGAGTGGTGGTGTCGTTTTCTGCAACAATGGGTTTGGGAGATGGGTTGGAACCATTAAAAGTTTTATAGAGATCCACCACATATATAGGAGGGCTACGATCTGAGTCTTACAACTCATGTAGTTGGTGGATAGCAAATTAAGTGAGGATGAGAATTATACAACAATGCGGGATGGGGTCTTGAGAGTCAGAGTATGTTATATGAATAACAGAAGAATAAAAGGAGTTGTCGTTGATGCACATGATGAGGGATAACTGTGGCAACCGGGAAATTTTTAGGATGAAGGGTTCCTGGATGATACCATATAAAAGTAATAATTGAAACTTATATTTTTACACCGAATGGAAGTCGACTACATATAAAAGTATAAATAGAAGTCAACTACATATAGAGAAAGAGATCCGATAATGTTGGATCTGTTACAATAGTTATGGAAGTCTCTATCGATTATTCAAATTAAATAAAGCATGTGATAAATGTA